AAGCAATATACTTTGAACAACTGAGGCCATTCAAGCAACATATAGGCTTTGAGACACACTAAGATCTAGTGAGTCTCGAAGGAAGTGTTGCAAATATATAACAGGACTTTGCAACCAAGAACTAACATTTTGAAGAATCATTTGTTTCAAAATAAAGTTTGCTGAAAATGACTTAGTTTGGGGATGCCTTTGAATATTACGTTTCCAATGTGGAACAAATTCCTTAAACCAGATGTGATGGCAAATATAAATCTGTATCTGGCAATTCATCAGTGGAACTTAGACCTTAGAAATGCAGCTTTAAAATTGATGGCACCTCTTTTCAACTCACCGCAGAAATTTGGACATTAAAAATTAGCTAAAAAGAGTGACTTTTAGGCGAAAATATTCATAAATCCGCACACATAAACTTATTTGTGAACAATCCTTGGATCTATGTATGATACAGTATGCTTTTGTATAAATTATCATCTGTAAATATTTTATGAGTTTGAAAAGACCCAGAATGTTTCATTTTTGTCTATTCCAAATATCTCTCATATCTCCAGAATCAGATGACAGTGAAATTGCTGAACCTAGATTAAAAAGTGATCTTGAATTTACAATGGTTTTCTCACCGCTTTTTCTTCCCACTATTGATACATTAGTGCATGAAGATCAGTCGCAGCTGGGCACAGAAGAGATCGATGCTTTAAAAAAATCAAACCTCGATGTCGCTCAAACTAAACTTGTTGACCTCAAATCAAACCTTTCTGAACTTCAGAACACAGGCAATTCCAAAATTAAAAGTTTTGGGAAAATTGGAAAACATACCTTTGTACAGTAATTATCAACTTATATAATAAAAAGACTTTCTGGGCTAGCTCTTATGTACACCCATTATTGAAAGCCCATTGACCTAAATGTTGCTGTTGACTTGTTTGCCAAACACCATGGTGAAAAACTGAGGAAAGTTAATCTTTTATTTAACTAAGAGAATATGCAAGTAAGTGCTGGAGCAATAAAATAATCTTAGGAATAGATCTGCTGTACATATATTTTTTTTATATTTGTATTCCATTCTGCAATAAGAAAAAAACATGATGTCTCAGGAGTACTTAGTATGTGTATGTTATACACTACTAGTCTAGTCTACTACTAGTTAGTAGCCTGGACAGAATTGTTCAATGGTCACTTTTTCTTTAATAACTTTTTTAATTTCAATTATTATCAAAATCTGATTACATATTTGAAAACTAAAGTGAAATTGTGACATACAAACAAATTATTTAAGGACCATCTCTTAATTTGTTGATATTATGGTGAAACAGAATGTCCTAGCAGTCATCCAATCACCAGAAGCTTATGGCCATTTATCTTGCGCTACAAACATTTTACCTCACATAAAGGGGCTCTCAATACAGATCTTGACAGACGATACTACAGCTCTGGCGTATGTAAACAATCAGGGTGGGCCAAGTTTGTATCTTGCGCAAATCGCCAAAGCAATATAGACTGGATGTTACACCGAAAGTTATTCACGGTAGTCAACAATGTATGGGGCCCACACCGCATAGACATGCTCAGCTACCACGATACAACAGCAGGTCTGGGACCCAGGATTGGAGGGTATAGATGCCCTAGCTCATCAAAACTGGGGATTGGAGAACAATTTTGTGAACCCCCTGTTCCGATTTATACCAAGGATTTTGGATTTAATACATCAAAATGCAATAGCTACCATAACCGCCCTATATTTGCCGGCCCAAGAATAGTAAAATTCCATTGAACGGAGACACAAACCTGGTCTACTTTGTCTATGACAGTTGAGCTAATTATATGTGTGTGAATGTGTGGACTGTAAACTTTTCTAGGACCCACAAACTCCAGCAGAACTCTGATTCATATATCTCATACCTGAAGCAGGGCAAAGATATAGTTATAAAGATCCCAAAACAATCTACAGAAAAAACAGAAAATTGCCCGAAATTGTAGTCAGAATTAAGACCCAGTATGTTGAGTGGTGAACAGGGAGGAGCGGTGGAATGCAAACAGTGAGATTAGCGAAATAGGAAGCCTATATGATAGGCTACTTGTTGGGTTTAATGGAGGAAGGGCTGGAAGATATAAATTCAATCTACCAGCTATTAGAACAATTTAATGTGATTGAGACATTTTTGGATGACAATGATGAGTCCAGAAGAATAACTGTGAAGAACTACCTCCAGTCCATGTCTAAATTTCTTCTATTCCTCAACTTGGGGTGTAACCTAATATCACCTGAAGAGGTAGCTTCATTGGAGGAACAAATGCGCCTTTGGAACCTATGATATGATATGGTATGATCTAGTGAACAAAAAATTTCAGTCATTTTCAGAGTGACCAAAAACAGTGAGCAACTACCGTGCTCATGAAGAGGACCGAATTATAGTACGCCACAAGGAGAGGGAGTTAATTCCCGGAACCGATCAAATCACGCCATATGATGGTAATAGATACTACCATCTGAACATCTCCTGTATAAAACAGAGGCAGGATTCTTTTAATTCTAGAACCGTGCGATGGGATAGCACTCAGATTATTGAGGGAGATATCGATTATGTCCACCATTCCATTGGTCACCCTATATAAAATGTGTCACGAACACATAGTTATATTCTTGATTGGATTTTGGTGTCTCAACAATAACTTAAAAGAGTTATATTAGAGCCATTAAAAATGATTTGGAGGTGATATAGAATATGTTTTGAAACCGATGAACGTAATGAAGTATCTGAATATGCCGTGATGTTTCGCGACATACTATTTGACCTGGTATTATTGAAAGATGTAACACAGGGGTTCAAAGACACAGAACTATATTTTATGATGGCTATAAAGCTACCTTCATACAAACAATGAATCTTAGTCCAGCAGTTTGACTGTGGCATGCAGATGAACCTTAGGGTTTTACTACACTATACTTTTCAAAAAAGAAGAACTTTTGATTACTGAATATCATCATATAGGCCCCAAAGTGATGGAATGTGTGAACGATTTAATCGAAGCTTGGAGAGTATGTTGAGCATGTTCGTGGCAGAGAATCAGCTAGATTGGGATGAATACTTACCAACAATTGCAATGGCATATTGTTCTACTCCACATGACAGCACTCATTTAACACCAAATATGATGATGCTTGGAAGGGAGATAGAGATGCCTCTGGATGTTATGATTGGTCTTCCACCTGAAGAAGTAGATATGAGTGTTGACTTGTACTTGAAAAGTTGTTATTAATATTGCTTTTTGTCATGAAATTGTATAAAATGATTAAATAAATAATGTTTTGTTCCAATTCAAATTGTACTGTTGTTAATAAAATAAAAAAAAGCTGTGGTTTTAAGTCCGAGTCCGAGGTTTTCACATGATGGGATAGTCGTAGCGTGTTGTCGTGATTTAGCGGTACCCGCCATCTTGGATCAATAATCCATTGGAGAAGGAGGTCACATGATGGGTAAATGATATATTAAATTATGAATTGTTGTTTGGTTTGTAGATTCCTGCTGTGTTCTACCTACTGTGTTCTACCTACTGTGTTCTACCTACTGTTGTTGAGTACTGCTGTGTATAATCCTGTAGATTGCTGTTGATTGCTGTTGCTGTTATATTCATTGATTATTGCTGTGATACAAGATGGCTGGAATGGGCTCACTGCATGTTTGCCACGTGGATGAATGTGGAGAGATCTTTGACAACTCAAAGGATCTGAATACCCATAAGTCCAAAGTACATGGAAAAAGAGGTTCTATTGTACACTATGCAATAGAGGCTTCAGTCGGTGCTATGATCTTATCAAAGACCACATGCCAAGGGCACATCCTGGCACTACTACAAAAAAAGATTAAGATTGTGACTCTAAACAGTGATGAAGATCTGAAGTTACGGAAAAAAAATGTGTGGAAAAGTTGAGAAGAAAGAAAGGAAGGACGAGGAAGTAAGGAGGAAAAAAGGAGGAGAGGTGGAGGAAAAAAGGAGGAGAGGTGAAGAAGAAGACAGGAGAGCGAAAAAAAGTTGAGAAGAAAGAAAAGAAGGAAGAGGAATAAAGGAGGAGAGGTGAAGAAGACAGGAGAGCGAAGAAAGTGGAGAGAAGGAAGAGGACTAATGAGAAAGAGGGGAAGACGACCAAGGATTTCAAAAGACCAAATATAAACAGACTGACAGCAGTCGAAAAACAGCGGAAGGTACTTCAAAAATAACCCAAATATTGTACATCTCTTTATCATAAACCAGCTCTTATTGAGGAATCAACAGAGATGCTTGTTCCATATACATCACGACGATTGGTGCATATTTAACAAAATACCTGCACCAGTCCTGTTACTTTTGGAACACCCTGTATGCAATGAAGTATGTCAATATCTACCTTGCAATGTGTGAACGCAACTGGAATCTTAGAAATGCAGCCATAAAAGCCACATGTCCACTTTTCACTGCATTTGATACCCATAACTATGCAAGACTCTTGCCACAGCATATTTCCCATCTTCTAACACTGCCAAATGATGTTGCACGGCAATTTTATTTATTTTTTTATTAAAAATATTTACTCAAAAAACATAAACACAAACAATACTTGAATCAATAAAACTATGCAAAACGGAAATATACATATATCCTGGATTAGAATTTATACAATAGTAAAATAGGATTTATTTTCACAGCATTATATACTCTATCAAAATTTTGATCCTTATACAATAGTAAAAGTCCAGAAAATCCATTCAATCTTAGTAAGCAGCAAAGGCATTTATAATTTTCTTAAAATCAAAAATCATAGGATATCCTCTATATATGCTGATGTAGTTAGGATCTCAAAGTAGATAAAGAATCTAAATAAGTAAGTAAATCTGAGGTTCAAACGATTATTATATCACAAATAGACTTTCACAGTGTCAACGTTTTGGAAATAGTCTGTAAAATATTACCAAGTTTGCTTGTATGAAAGCGAATGACTCACATTTAAGGGACACTTATTACAATGTCTTTAACAAGGTATAACATAAATGATCCAGAGGTCTTGGACAGTATTGTGAACTTCTCCAATAATCAATCGATGGCATCATGTAGAAGTTCAGGGTCTGAGAGTGAAGAAATGGGAGGTATTCCAGTGTTCACATCTACTCCGCAAATCACCAAGTTGCAAAACAACCCCCCCCCCTGCTCAGTCATTGCTAGCTGAATTAGAGGACTGTTCCCGTCCCAGTTCTCGGATGCAGAGCTCGACACCTCATATGAGAATATCAACCCATGGGCGCAATTTAGATAGACAGTCGTTCCCTCCAAACCAGACCCAGCAACATGACAGAGGCTCTCGTAAGTTATTAAGCTTTTCACCCTACACACATACTTGTGTATTAAAATATTGCTATTGAAAGTCCGGGATTGAAAGTAAGCTGAACAAGAGGTTGTTTTGATTCTGGACATAGAGCAAATTACATACTATCCGATTAGATAGCCATAACCCATTTTGGGTAGTAAAATATAAAATTCTGTACTGAAAGATTTCAGAACGAGGCTCTTCGAAATCTGAAACCGCCTGTTCCGAAATTTCTGCTGTAAATTTCTAGATGATAATCAAGCATATGTAATTGTAAGCCTAATTGGTAGAGAAAAAATTCCAATGTACTAAGTGTGTACAGAACCAGGAGGGAATGTACCAATGTTTTATTTTATTTTTTGAATTTTGAGTTTTAATTTTTTTACTTTGGGTGGTACATTCCTCACAGACTAGACACTGGACAATGGGTGACGGGCCAAAGTTTTGCCATGTAATTTCTAGTTCATGTAGACTATGTTACAGAATCATCAAAATACTGTATGAGCAAGGACTCAGGATAAGGCAACATCTTTCTTAGCCAAGCAAATTGTATGATTTCAGGTGCTGAATCTAACTTCAGTCAATGAGAGGGTTCATGTCTTCAATTGGAAAAGATGTGGCAACCCTCGTGGGGACAAATAATCAGACTGCAGAAGATATTTCATCTCTGAGTGAAAGCAATAGTGCTCTTCAAAGAAGAATGGACAAATTGGAGAAACGTATCAGAACTACACCTCCAGCTATATCTACTCAATTGAACAACTGTCGACGTAAGGTATCCTCCAAAGTTTCTGTAAGTGGATTCTTTATGAAAATTTTCATATTAGAGGGAGAATCAGATCTAACAAATAGGAAAATTACTGATAACCTAGTTAAAGGTCAAACTTTAACACAGGAGAAAGTTAAATGTTAAAGAAACTGTTTCTTGTTTTGTCATTTGGTCCATCCAATCACATTTACCAGTCAGATTTTACCATGGGGACACTAAAAGCTGTCCTGTGCAGCCAATCATGGATGGATTTTGAATCTAATGGTGTCAAATTATTCAAGAAAGATTTGTCTTGGTATCCAAAGTACATTTTAGGGGAAAAGTCAAAATTAGTCAAAAAAATTAATATTTTTTAGGACACTGTAGTAAACACTATTTTACAGTATTCCAAAGAAGAAAAACAAGATGCAACACGTAAAGAGGTTAACGAATCCCTAAGTGGATTCAAGGCCCATCCAAAGGAATTCTTTACTGATCTAAATGCATACCTTACAAACAGATACAAAGGGGTAAACAAGAAGCAGAATCCCTAAATATGATTGCCTATATTGGGAAATTTCTTTTTTCAATAGATCCCAAAAAAGTTTCTGTTGAAAAAATTAATACCCATATATAAGATATAAACAGGACAACCAAAAGAACAACCAACTGTCAGAATTGAACGCAATAAGTCGAAAACAGAATACAATGTTTTTTGGGATTTATCTACAGTACAGATCTTGCACCACATCACACGCCGGTGCGCCGCGGCGCAGAACTTCGGTGCATCTACCAGTGCATCGGCGCATCTAATTCGGTGCATCGACCGGCGCATCTGGAGAAACGATCGATGCACCGATCGGTGCAACGGTCAAATCTGTCGGTGCATCGAAGGTTGCTCCGACCGGCGCATTTTGCTATTCGTTGCATCGATCGGTGCATAGACATTGTTTATTACTTACCGATCATTAATAATTACATTTTGAAATCACGACGACGGGAAAATCACTACTGCACAAATAAAATATATAATTTAATAGAGATTCGATATTTGAGAGATTTTTAGAAATACATTTCTAATAATTATATTCCAAATTCACTAGTAAATTGTACGTACATTGTACGTATCTGGATTTCGTTCATAATTGATTAATCTGTTTATGCGTTCCTCTAAGTAAATGAAACAATCATCACATCGTGTTTATAAGTGTAATTCAAGGGCGTATAATCTATGAGTCTAGTGCTACTCATTTCATGGTATTACTTTCCGATCATTTGATAAAATAGAATACAATCAACATGTGGAAATCACGGATGACGGGAAAAACAATATTGTATAAATAGAATATATATTTTAATAAGAGATTCGTAATGTAAGAGATTCGATATTTAACAGATATTTAGAATGAATTGCGACATTATATTCCAAATTCATGAATAAACTGTACGTATCTGGATTTCGTTCATAATTGTTTAATGGTTCCTCATAGATAGTAATAAAGTCATCACATCGTGTTCATTAGTGTTAATTCGAGGTTGGATAATGTTTTTATAATATGATGTTATAATTTTACATTTTATTTGTGTGTCTGAGTGAGGCTAAATTGAAAGTAAAACCTGTCTAATCAGACGGGCAAATCACGATGAGGACAAATGATTATTTAAATTAGTAAGATAAGTCTGTACATGTAGATTGTTCGTGTCCCTCTCAAACAAATAAGTCAAAGCCAAATATAGTTGAACTGTTTTCGGGATTATTATTCATTTGTTGTAATACAGATTGACTTATAGACTGATATTGTAATGGGTTGTGCTTGGAATTTACAGAATTATTCTATGATAGTCTCAGGATATATTGAAATGCGGATGTTTACATTAAAGATCTTGTTTTCAAACAAAAATATTGAAGTACGATATAAGATCGGATATTAGCGTACTCCAGTGGAAAAGAATCAAAAGATATTCCAATTTAACACACCACAATAATTTGTCATTTTGGAAATTCGTCAATATGACCTTACCATTTTGATCTTAATAGGTTAAAATTTAAACAAGCAGGAAAGTTTCATTTTTATTCTTGATTTTCTCTGACTCGGAATAGTTGAAATGATAAACATGAATTGCAATTATCATTATTTTGCTCTTTCATTTTGCTCAGTCATGATCAACGCCTTCCTTAAATTTTCTGTCAGATCATCGATCCCAGACTTCAGCAAATATTCCAATCATATTTTGCGTTTTATCGTCTTTCCCAAAAGCTATACGATTATGGTACTACAACTACTTAATGACAGTGGTTTATTGTTATTTTTGCAAATATGGATGTTTACACTGCTCGAATCTTATTCTAGGAAGTTTTATAGAGACAGGACTTCCTTTTCACAATGCAATTATATCTGTTTTGTAGGTTCCCGTGGGTAAGATACACACATGAACAATACGGCCCATCCAAAAGGGACAGATCCGTCAGTGGCGTTCTTCAAATTATAGCCCGTGGAGATATAGTTTATGAATCTTGCCTCAAGTGACGTGTTAAATCCCATATTGGGTTTGAGAAAGGGGTACACACAGCCTGATACACAGTTGCTCGATACAAGTGCAAACTATGAAATAACCATAATATAACAATTATAGATAAATGGTTGGCATGCATTGTTTCTGTTTAATTTTTAAATTATTTGATAACTTATAATAAGCAGATAAGTTGCTTTTCAGGTATTAAGCGGCGATTAAGGACTGAAAACCAGCGTCACGCATTTCCTCGGATATTGCTCCATAAGCAGATATACGTACCTGTTTGCATGTTTTAATTTTGATTTGATTTGATTGTTTGAATTAGATAAAGTCTTTAAAATGTTACCAGTGTTTGGGGGGGGGGGCTGAGATTTCATGTAGGAATTAAAATTAGAATAAGATTTAAATACGATCTGTTTTGTTTGCATCGTTGTATAACGTTGATAAAACACAAAGGGCAGCATTGGAATTACAAAATTGTGCGATTCCCTACCTCCCAAAATTATTCAAAATTATATTTCTGTCATTCTGATTTCCGTGTCGGGACATTCTGATCTATTAGAGTCTCACTTTATCTAACGCTTTGGTAGGATTGTACTTGCCCGGGAGTACTTGCTGTATATCACGTCGGGAGATTAAACCAGTGAATGTTCCGATCGTCGCAACATTCGATACACCGAGAGATTTCCCAGATTCATACATGCATACTGTATATTACGTAGCAATGTCTATAAGATAAATCGTACAATATTTGTATTCTGTTTCACAGATTCCCCTTGAAATAGACTAGATGCGAGTAGAAATAATCTTGATTTACGTCATTAAATATTCAAAATTCAGTCAAAGTGATGTCATAATTTGAAATCTACATGAAAAAGTACATCTAAAAATACGGTTTCGAAAATTGTTTATCAAATTAGAAAATTACGACAACACGGGCAATATATGGCAGGTTAAATGAGTCGCCAAGATTATAACACGCCGGTCTTTATGTTATAGTTTATGAAAATTGCCTCGAGTACAATGTCAAAATCTCATGATGATTTCTTCCGACCTGTGTTTACTGACAAGAGAGGGGTGCGCAGTTGTTGAAGCGAGTATAAACTAAGAAAAATCCAAAGTCCGATAATTATTAATTAATTGGCATGGATCTGCTAATTGTTTTCGTTATTGTTACTTGTTCTATCTAGACGGTTTTATCTGCATCGAGATGGCTGATTATAAGGCATGAACATTTTTTCCAGTTGTGTTAATTGTTATTCCTTAATAAGCGGATTTATATGTTTGAAATATTTATTAATCCATTTTTCATTTTGATATACTTTTCAAAGGGCTTTTTGTTCTATCTATGTGTTTTGTTTATACTAATCTTTAACAGGAGTTAGCTTACAAGGAATTCCATATAGCCTACAATTGATTTTAATTCATAAAGTTTGCTGATAATTGACTTAAGTATGGTAAAGCTCTCGAAGAGAGCATGTGCATGATCGCCAATAAAATTGCATTCTTTGTTTTGTTTTGACAGTTAGTTTAGAACTTTAGCCACGCGAAGTATACACGCAAACGCTTGTGTACTTTTGAAACATTAATTTGTAAGGCTTCAAAGTCATTTCCATCTCCTCCGGTGTTATTTCTGTGGTAGAGGTTTTTCAAAAATAATTTAAAACTTTTGAGACCTTTGGGGGTATAGGATATACGATCAATTCACATGTCCTTCTATTTTAAGTTTTTTTCCTGAAGGATAAGAAAATAAAAATCAAACATAGAGAGGCAAAGACGTGCTTTTCTATGAATATAATTGCGACTTCCATGACATTTGACAAAGTCAGACCCCTAGTCAGAGAAGGGGGGGGGGGGTTCAAGAACGCCTCTCTCCAAAATTTATTTAAAATCGTGCAGTTTTTCATCATTCTGAGCTTTTTTTAACTTAAGTGATGACCAATGTTGTTTAATGTGGACCCCTGCCCCCATCACTCTGGAAGTGATCATGATACACTCAATCCACAAGGTGGGTCTTAAGATTAAAACCTAGA